ATTCGCATTGCGATAGTCCAAGTTCGCATTGCGATTTTCCAAATTCGACTATCGCAACGCGAACTTCGACTATCGCATTGCGATTTATATATTCGCATTGCGATAGTCCAAGTTCGCATTGCGATAGTCGAAGTTCGCGTTGCGATTTATTCCAAATTCGTTACGATAGTCCAAAATCGCAACGACTGGTGGTATTGCATTTGTTTCTTAAGAATTTTCTCTAAAAAGATAGTATTCGCGCGGACGTGTCGAAGACATGTATTACCACGACCATGACCACGAGACGAGACGAGACGGACGGCGGCGGCGCGCGAGAGTCCCCCTTGTTATCTATCACTCAACAAGGAAGTGGGAAAGCCAAGCCTTAAATACCATTCCCAATAGTGTTTCCAATACTATGTGGGATTGAGCATTACCAACACTTGTTTCCAATACAATGTGATTATTCAGGAAACAATTAACAATCATGCACCTTAAAACAACTGAATCAGCAACCAATTGCATTAGTATTATACGATTAAATATGTCATAATTAAAAGTCAATCTACAATCAATCGCGATTATTGCAATTTTAAGTAAAACATTCAAAAATAATATCACTATTTAAGGCTCAATCCCACATAGTATTGGGAACAAGTGTTGGTAATGCTCAATCTCACATAGTATTGAAAACACTATTGGGAATGATATTTAAAGCTTGGCTTTCCCACTTCCTTGTTGAGTGATAGAGAACAAGGGGGACTCTCGCGCGCCGCCGCCGCCGCCATCCCGTCTCGTGGTCGTGGTCGTGGTAATACGTGTCTTCGACATGTTCGCGCGAAACTATCTTTTTAGAGAAAATTCTTAAGAAACAAATGCAATACCGTTGTTGCGATTTTGGACTATCGCAACGAATTTGGAATAAATTGCAACGCGAACTTCGACTATCGCAACGAACTTGGAATAAATCGCAACGTGAACTTGGACTATCGCAACGAATTTGGAATAAATCGCAACGCGAACTTTGACTATCGCAACGAACTTGGAATAAATCGCAACGCGAACTTCGACTATCGCAACGAATTTGGAATAAATCGCAACGAATTTGGAATAAATCGCAACGCGAACTTCGACTATCGCAATGCGAATATGTAAATCACAATGCAATAGTCGAAGTTCGCGTTGCGAATCTGGAAACTGATTTGCGATACCGGAGATCGCGTTGCGAATTATCGATCGCATTGCGATTTAGTTGGTCATTTTGACAAATCCAAAAAAAATTGGTTAAAATCGTATATTATAAGGCATTTTTGGTCACTGAGGTTATTTTCTCTAAAAATATATCCAGAAACTGAATGATTTTAGATATAATTATCAAGTATGATAAAATTTATATAAAATAAATTTAAATTGAAAATTATTATATCAATCTTTTTATCATTTTATATTAAATTTGTATAATTTTCTTCACAATAGTACATTAATAATTGAAATATTGTTAAGTTATTAATCGAATTAATCATTTGCAACATTCTAAAAAGGACGATTCTTCTACGCTCGACAAGCGGCAATGAACACCACTAATGATGAACACCGATAAATTAATTTATAAAACGTAAAAAATCTAAAGGATTCAACGTATAATTATAAATTAATTGAAAATTAAAGGTAAATTATTGAAAATAAAAGGTAAATTATATCAGTGGTCACCTAACTATTACTCTTTTTTATTTTGACCTTCATTTTTTGAAATTTTGTTAATCAGGTCACTCAAGTACTATTTAAATGCATTCAATAAAACCACTTGATATTAATATTTAACGAAAAAGCTGATGTGATAGTTAAAATATTAGGTATAATTACACATTTAATCATTGTTACTTATATATTATATCAATTTGGTCCTAGTTTTAATAAATTAAAATAAATTTAACTCTCAAATCAAATGGTGTCAAAGTAGTATTTAAAAAATGATGGTCATAGTAAAAAGGGGCAATAATAATGTGGTCATTGGTATATTTTATCTTTTATTTTAAATAATTTATCTTTAAATTTTCAACTAATTTATAATTACACGTTGATTCCTTTTGAATTTTAAATTTTTATAAATTAAATTAATGGTGCTCATCGTCAGTGGTGCTAATAGGTACTTGTCGAACGCTGTATAATTTTCCTTCTAAAAAATTGAACCATATATGCACAAACTATAACTTTGATTCTAAATTGGTTCTTAAACTTTTACACATTCTAAAATTATCTCCAAACTATAACCCTCCTTTTAAATTGGTCCTTAAACTTTTAAATATTTCAATAATATCCCCCTAAATCATTCAAAAGTTCATGATGAAGTTAGAATATTCAAATGTTTTGGGACCAATATAAAATGATGGACACGATTTAAAGATGAAATTAGTATATTGAAAAATTTAGATACCAATTTAAAACAAGGGTCATAATTTGCAAATATATAATACAATTAACTCTATATATTTTATTATAAAATTGGAAATAAGCTATATATAACAAATATTTGAAAATATCAATTTATGATGTTATTATGAGCGAAATTTAAATATTAAAAAATCGATTAAAATTCATCTTTTCAATTTTTTTAAATAAAGTTTTCAATGAGTTTTTTATTTAGGTACCAATTTTTATGAATTCTTATCATAGTTTTATCTAAATTTATTATGATACGGATTAATATATATCTCGATTATTAATCGATCTTATTCACGTTTAATTTTAAGATTAAGGGGTTTTTTTTTCTTTGTAGTATATTTAATTTATTATTTTCACTCTTATCGTATTTTTGCATCAATTTAGCCCCTAAAATTATTTAACTGCATCATTATATACACTTTCCCTATATTAAAACCTTAAATTCTAAATCATAAGTTAATATTTAGGATTTAGGATTTAGAGATAATGGGTTTATAGTTCAGGCTTTATATAGTTTATGGTTTTAAGTTAAGGGTAGGGAGCATATCTAGGCCTAGGCCATAAACCCCCTATGCCTAAAATTGATAAATTACTCGTTAAGTCATATTTATTATTTAGTTTTTATTTTGATCACTCAATTATTATTTATTTTAAATCACACTTAATGTTACATTTTAGTTATATTTTGGTCTTTTGTTTTTAAAAAAATTAGTGGTGATCTTGATGTATCATCATAAGATAATGTCATGACTGAAAAATAATTAAAAAATGTCATGTTAAAATCATTAATATTTTTTTAAATGTAAGTGATTAATATATATATATATATATATATATATATAATATAAATTTCTAAGATAAATTGTTTATTATGTTTATATTAGCATAGCCAATAAAATTTTTATGAATTCGTCACTGAATAGGGTATAGAATAGTACAATTAAGTGATTTCGAGAGTTAAACTGATGTGAAAATATAATAGAGACGAAAATGATAAATTGAATCTACTACATAGACAAAAATTATTCTTTTGTCTTAATTTTATAAAAATTTAATAATAAATATATATTTATTGTTAAAGTCGATATATAATTCTGTTTTGGTATAATATTATGTAACTATGTATAACATCTATTTGGCTTCTAAACGAGGAGGAAGATAGGATAGGGTACCCTAGCTACTCTACATTAGATTTATTTATTTTCAACGTTGAATTAATTAAGATAGGACAAATGGTGTTTGTTGGGGGGGGGGGTTGGAAGTTGGATATACATCATACCTCGAATTGTACCTTCTCAAGTACCTATCGAACTCCTTGGCAACGAAAGCCATTTCCTAGCCACCGCTTTTCACTCTCAAAATAATTGTGTTTAGAAGATATATACGTATAATAAATATATATATATATATTTTTAAAAATATTATATTTGAGTAACTGTGTTTGTAGGATATGTACATATTATCAATAACTAAGAAATATATTGAACAAATACTATATTACTGAATTATAATTATATTATATTATTACAAAATAAAAGTTTGAATTTTACATGGATTGTCAAAATAATTGAATTTAATATTGTGATTAAAGTTTTTAATTTTTTCGGTAAAATATCATTTTTTATATGTTAATCTCACCTTTATTTATCTAACAAAGCATAAAATATATAAATCTTAAAAGATTATATCGTGTTGACAAAATATATTTACTTTTGAATACCATCACGATTTCATAAATCGGATAAACGTAGTTGGATTAAACTATATTTTTTTAATAATTTAAGGTTATTATAATATTGTGTCTATTCAAAATCTTTCCTAGTAATTGAAAACGAGCGTGTACATGTATACATAGTTTTTTGAATCCAAGACCCGTAGAGAGAATAATAATTTCTTTAACCACTAAGACATGTTATTGGATTCGGATTAAGCTACATATTCATTGGAGATTTACAAGTTACTTTTCATAGTTTTCCAATACATTCCAATCAAATAACCTTTGCGGGAAATTTATCAAAAGTTCCCTATATGTAAATATAAAGTATATTTCACAAACGCATGGAGTCTGAAGTTTGATTTTTTTAAAGATAAAAACACACACATTTAATTGTTTAGTTTCTAAATTAACATAATCGTTAATATGCAATTTAGTAGTTAAACAAATTACTTATTAACTTTTAATATTTGCTTTTAAAATATATGTAATTTGCATTAAAACAGTAGCACGTGGACTTGGTGAAAGCTTAGGACAAGGTGGAAAACGTGTAAGAACGACTCTGCCCCCAAGTTCAAACTCTTCTCATCCAAATCAAACCTAAATTACTCGGTATAAAATAAAATAATTATTTTTTAATTTTTTTTAATTTTTTATTAATATATGATAATTATATAGAATTTATTTTAAAGATTTTAAATTATTTGATAATAAACCTTTAATATCGTTGTTTATACTCGAACTTTGGATTATAACAAACTTTTTTTAACTATTAAAACCGTTTAATTCGTGTTTTAATATCTTTTAATAATTAATAAACTTTTTTAATAAATAAAATAATAATGGAGTAGTAAGCATTAATATTATTTAGTTATTGCGTGAGATACCCAGCCATTCGGGTATTTCAAAGTCCTCCATGCCGACTCCTCTTCTCCATGTCTTCCATGGCTGAACCCCACAAGAAAACCACCAAAACCAGTCATTTTCTAGGTTGTTTCGGGTTTTCCGGCATGAAAAACCCGCCGGAAAAGCCCATTAAACCCAGCAGCAGGAACAAGACACGGTCGCCTCCTTGCCCGATGTTTTGTTTCACCGCGAGAAAGTCCCGTACCAAAACTGTGCCCGTCGATAACTCCGACAATAAGACAGTCTCAGCCGGCGAAAGCTATACGCCGTCGAAGCCGATAAAGAAGAAGATCCCTTCGCGCCAAAATTCCAAAACTGATCAACGACAAACGGCGTCGCTTGAAGAGGTCAGTCTAGTTGAGAATAGTGAAATTCCCCACCTTCTCTCTAGCCGAATTTTATGTTTTCATTTAATCATATTGCTGGCCAAAAGGCGATTTGTGTCGTCTCTGACAACTTTTTGAGAGCTTATTTTTTTGGATTTTATTGCTTTGCAGGGACCTGAACCGAATATTCTCACCCGGAACAGAAGAAATTCAGACCCGATTAGGACCGGTTCAAGCCTTCCCAGTTCACCGGCAGTTAAATCGAATCCGAAAACACATCCCAACTTATCCCACACGGCTTCGTTACCGGTCCTCGACCGCGGAAAACGGGCGGAGAATCCCCGGATTCATGATCGGGTCAACTCGAAGCAGATCAGGCGGAAGAACAATGGGGCGGTTAAAAAATTCGACACGGTCACGGGTTTGTCCATCATTATGGTGATCCTAGTAATGATGTTACTTTGGGGTCGCTTATGTGCGATCCTGTGTGCCTCGGCTTGGTTTTATTTTTACTATCGAACCGCGGTTAAAGATAATGATATAAAAATCATTACGGATGCAGATGCTTCGGATTTGAACTCGGAAGAATACAAGAAGAGGATCGTGCTAGAAGGATTGTTAGAGAGGAATCATAAGATTACACTGTGAATTTTTTTTATATAGTTCATGTTGGACTCTATTTTATGGTTCATGTACAAAAATAACTTCCATTTTTCACTTTTTCTTTTTCATGTCCGATGCGAACGTTAGACGTAGCTGCATATGTTTTGCTAAAGTGAGCCGGTCTGGGCATTTTGTGTAAAATTAGCAATGGGAAAAAAAGAAGAGAAGGGGTCAATGTCTTCTAGAATTGTATATAATCCAGTCCCTTTCCTCTTCTATTTTCTTCCCGTTTTCTTGTTTGATTGGTGCAATTGCGGAGTCACGTGGTTCTCGACGTGAAGCACGTGCCGTCGGCTTGTGTGGTTCAAACATTGGCTGTCAGCCTCGGGTGTCTCGTTTTCCCTCACCTAACGTTAGCGAGAGAATTTAAGGGGAAAAAACAATGGAATTTATACTTAAAATAAATTGTTTTTATAGTGGCAAATATACTAAATAGGCCCTCAAAATTTTTCATTTTTTTAGATGAATCCTTATATATATATATATATATATATTTGGATCTATGATAGTCTTTCACAATAATATTATCTCCTAGGGGTCGTTTGGTTCACGAAATATAAGATTATCTATGATAATATTATTGGAATGTTACATTAATTATTATATTACTGAGAATATTGTATTACCTTATTTGATTTGTTTGACAGGAATATAAGATCACAATATTTTGTTAAAATAATATATGATAGAAAAAATATATGTTTTACCAAATTATCCTTGAGATATATTTTATTTTTTAACAAGTTAAATTCTCGATATTAAAGTTAAAATATTTAAATGAAACATCATAGAAAATATAATTTTTATTATTTATATATTTTTAAATAAAGTTCATACACAAATAACTTAATATATATATATATATTTTTATTTTTTTTTGAAAATGCACAAACATACTTACATTAATATAATTATGTGTTTATTTTTAGGTATCAAGATATTGAGAGATGTGCATACTGACACCGGTGTATGTATATGTTTATTTTTAGGTACCAAGATATTGAGAGATGTACATACTTACACCGGTGTAAGTATGTATTAATTGGTACACTATTTTATTTTATTCATGCCACATGTATGAGTTATGAAATATCATATCAAAATATTTGAAATTTTTGATAGAAAACATAAAAATATAATATAAAAATTATTTTACGAAAATTAATCATAAATGAAGCTTACTAAAACACGTATCAAAAGTAAAACTTGAATCAAACACATATATAATAAATAATTCAAAATAAAATAAATTTTAATATTATTATTTTACTCTTTATTTTATATACGTCATATTATTTTACAATAGGTTTTAGAAAATCTAAAACCATTTAAAAAATAAAATAAATTTATAACCATGTAATTATATATAAAAATAAGGGTAATTTTGAAATAAATATATTATTTTAAATGTATTATTATTCTAAGGGGAGAGAACTGTCTAATACCTGAGAAAAGGGAGGGAATGACATTTTTGAAAAAAAGACCAAAAAATAGTCACTATTGGGAATATTTCATTAACCCGAAAAGAATGCTCTTAAACCAAATGTGGGAATATGATTTCAGAAAAATAATATTCCCACAATAATGATCTTCTCCGTGAACTAAACGCCCCTAAATTTCATACATAAATATTCTCATTAATAATATACCATGTTTTTTTTATCATTGCATAACACTTATTGATACAGGTCTTTATGCTTTTATTACAACTAAATCAGCTTAAGCTTTAACTTGTAATGTTTTGTTAAAACGTTAATGGTAGGATAGGATGAAGTATTATGTCTTTTAAACAACATTTATATTTTGCATTATGATGTTATAAATAGAGTAAATTGGGTTAAATAGACCGTCTCCATAAAAAACATCTAATCATTTATAATAGTTAATTTGAATTAATCGATTAATTACGAAGCAAATTGAATTAATTCAGTTGACATAATTATTATTAAAATATCTAAAGGACGTGGATTTGAACTTGTTTAAACTTGTATTATCCTTTAATTTGCATACATAATGAAAACCGAATAATTTAAAGCTACTTGATATCGCTTAAGGAGCCCCACGACTCATCGCAGCAAGTCTATCTGCAGCAGCATTCTCTTCTCGACTAACGTGGTTTACCTTAACAGTCCAATCTCGATCTCGAGGCGCAGAGTTCGTGGTAATCAGCGCACTTCCCGCCAAAGCATCCGATAAGTTGTTCGTTTCATTATTCTAAGTTTTTTTTTTTTTTGAGTTCTTGGAGACCCAAACCACATATCCATGTCAAGATATACATCAAATACAAATGACAGACATGAAAATGCAAGAAAAATGAGAAGTTAGAGCAGCATAGCACCCAACACCAAGCAAATTTGATAATATCAATAGAAATATTCACCAGAAGCATGATAAACAAAAGTTAATTAAGATCAGAAAGAATGAAAAACTTAAAACGGAAACGGGAGCGATGTAGGAAGCCATGAGAGATCTAGAGAGAGAAATCAAAGAGAAATTAGTTGGACTTTTTTCAAGAAAAGAATAGACAGGAAAAATGAAATATACATTATCACAATTCAGTATTTGTTTGTTTATGAATTTGTCTCGTTCGTAGTTTAAAAAGTTCTTTCTTAACTAAAGAATTTTATAACTGGATATCCTTTTTCTATCATGTAGGATTCAGCCATGGCAATTTCGTTATGGTTGATTTTCGACTTTACGATAATTTCATTGATTGTTTATGTCATGATTAGGGGAGTTAATACCTGCACATTTAGGGTGTTGATGCTCTACCGGTTAGGGTGATTTTCGGCCATCAGCTGTTCCACCATGAGCTTTATCAGCTGTTACACCATGATCTCTGCAAAATTTTTATAGTTGTTGTGTTATGGTATCCATCCTTGAGGAGGAGGAGGAGGAGGAGGAGGAGGAGGAGGAGGAGGAGGAGGAGGGAACACCAGTCAAAAGTTTTGGGAGTTAAACTTGTGCTAAAACAGTGCCAAAATATTGATTTAACGTGATCCACCAGCTTTCCGTCACTCACATTAATGATAGTTAACGTCAGATGATCGATTTATTATAAATTAATAATTTTGGTGACTAATTTGATACAAATTAATAATTTTAGTGATTAATTTGTTACTTTTGAAACTTTAATAGGGAAGAGAACACATACTAAAATATTAGTGACCATTTACGTAGTTTACCCCAAACTAAACCCTAACCCAAAATCAATATATTTGTTAGGCCAGATTTGCAGCCGACGGCACAAAACTCAAGCTTCTCGATTTTCAGCTGCAACCATGGTGCTTCCTTCTCCTTTGTTTGATTTCCTTCTTCTTTTGAGCTTATTTATGATATGTTTTCTTCTTTCATAAATTTATTTGTGAAATCCTTTTCTTCTATCTGTGTTTAGTGTAGTATTTCCCGTGTTTTAGGCTTGAAAAAAATGTTTATATTCAAGAAATCATATCTAATGATGTAGACTTTGCTCTGAAATCCGGAACTAGCCTTGAATTAATGATAGCAACCGTCGGTTTACAAGATATGTGATGAGATTGCGATGTGAGGGCTAATTCTTTTTCTTAGTATTACTGCTTGTCAATTGTTGTCGGTGAAGTGTTTGATGAAATGCTTGTGATAAATTTTTTGCTTTTGAATTGTGCCGAGACTGACCGTGGCTTTTGGTTGTTTGAAGGTGAACGTGCCTAAGACCAAGAAGACTTACTGCAAGAGCAAAGAGTGCAGGAAGCACACTTTGCACAAGGTAACACAATATAAAAAGGGTAAGGATAGTTTGGCAGCACAAGGGAAGCGTCGATCGGAAACAATCCGGTTACGGTGGCCAAACCAAACCAGTTTTCCACAAGAAGGTAATCCTTTCTGTTGCCTATCTTTTATTCCATGGGTGGGGTATAATTTATGTGATGGAAATAGAGTTAATTGCACCACATTCGGATCTCTTCAAGTCCTCCAACTATGAATGTCTTATCAATTAGGCCACTCTATTTAAAAATGTCAGCTCGAAGCTGATACATAACATAGTTGAAACTACCTTTTTAACACTTAAATTCAAGTTGTCTTCGCAGTAGGTACACATTTATTAATAATTTGATTCGCATGTTTTATAGATTTTTATGTCAGATCATACCTCGTTTAGCATTGTTAAATTAGTCATTAAATCACCAAATATAATCCAAAAGTACTTTTCAAAAGCAATGTTAAATTAGTCATTTAAATTGGCATTTAACACTTAATTTGATGGCTAAGATCTCGAAATAATATTTTGAGGATTCAATTAAAACATTTTGAAGTTCAAAGACCAGTTAAAATCTAGTTAATATTTTGGGATGTTTTATGCAACTAGTCCATGAAAATATCAAGAACCTTGTCCTTGTATATTTCATGTTTTATTGGCTTGAGACTCCAAGGCCTGTAAATGTAACATATATGAATGTGTATCCTTTTACCAGGCAAAGACTACCAAGAAGATTGTGCTAAGGCTGCAATGCCAGGGCTGCAAGCATGTTTCACAGCATCCAATCAAGGTCAGCTTACCGGAAACCCCTCGCCTAATTTATTTATGCTCTTCGACGAGCTAATTTTCGGTTTGTTTGTTACCGGTTTTTGCAGAGGTGCAAGCACTTTGAGATCGGTGGAGACAAGAAGGGGAAGGGAACATCACTGTTCTAAATGCGTTGTTCATGGTATTATGGTATGTCGATTTACTTTTGGTCGAGTAGTTTGAACTTACAGGGCCGTAATGGAATTTTGTCAAATTTGCTTTCAGTTTCTTGCCTTCCTGATGCTGGTTTGCAGTGTTAAAACTGTTGGCAAATGTTTCACTAGTAATTTTGGGTTTAACTGTGTTTGGGCAACTTCTAGTAGTATTTATCCACTTCTATTGCTTGTTTGAACATTATCCTTGCGTTAAAAATGAGAAACCTTGAACCAGCAAAGAATTAACAATCAAATTACAAAAAATATCAAATTTAAAACTGAATCATAAATTATTAATTTTATCATTTGACTTTCTTCGCTTTTTTATTTTGGACACTAAAGTTTAAAGAATTTGAATTTAGTCGTTATACTTCAGATATTGGATTTTTCACCCACTTGTCTATTTTGTTGGTTATCATCCGATGGTATGGATCCTTTTAATATTTTCTGAGTCACGTCGAC